CAGCATTATGCCATCATCTGTGATCTCCCCAATACAACCTGGAGGATGGCTCTGTCCCTGAGTGATTCTATGGCCCTGGCTTGAAGGATGCTGTAATAAACCTCCTTTTGTCTAAGCACTCCGAGTGACTTGCAGTGGAGGGTCCTGCACAGCATTGTAGCAACCAATTGTTTTGTGAACCATATCACCCCATAGTGTCTGCACAGTGCCTTTTCCGTCCAGCTTCAGAAACGATGTTTCATTTTTTCCTTCATTACCCACATTTGATTCCTCTTGTTGATTTTTTGCCCAGCTTTGCAGCAGTCTGTTTGTTCTGGGAGCGAGATACAGTGCTGGTGTTCAGCTGGTTTCCTGTCTGGCTAACTTTCTGCTAGATCAGGCAAAACTAATTGTTCTGAAATCTCACCAGAACAGAGTGACTGAGATAGAAGGGTGTGACGTGCTAGGGCTATTCCATGTACTGATGGTGGCCCGGCTGTGAATTGATTACACCTTTTATAAATTGACTTATAACCTGTACACTTTTCAGTTGACTTGACATCTTAACAATATTTTGAGTAAGATGAGTGATGATAGTGGTTTAGTGATCCATATTCAATGTTTGCTTAAGATGTGTTTTGTTTTATTTCATTCATATCTTTCTTTATGTATATTCTGTGACAAAGCTCTGTCCTTGCCTCCGTGGGTCCCACATTTCCTGGCGGATTTTGCTAGCCTCAGAGGCTCACTGTGACCCTCCATGTAACCCTTCTCTCTCTAGAGGCAAGGGTCACAGTCTACTGGGCCATTTTCATCATAAGCCAGTGAGGGAGGTGAGGAGAAGTTATCCTTCCTTGCACAGTCTCTGTTGCCTCCCAGTCTCAGTGATTAATCAGGGGGCAAAGGTGTGTGGGGGGGAGCCTGGGCCCACCCTCTACTCGGGGCTCCAGCCCAGGGACCCTAATAGTATCAGCTATGGTAGCTGACCTTTTAGAAACATAACATGTACAATTCCCTGGGCTACTTCCTCCACAGCAGCCCTCACTTCCTCAAGCTCCACTTCACCCTTACCTCAGGGCCTCCTTCCTTGTGCCTGATATGGTGTGTACTACTCAGCCTTTCCAACAGCACAACTTCCTCCCACAGCTCCTGACATGCACACCCACCTGACTAACTGGGAGGCTTTTAACTAGTTTCAGCCAGCCCCTGATTGGTTTCAGGTGTCCCAATCAACCTAGCCTTCTACCTGCCTTCTGGAAAGTTCTTAATTAGCCCCAGGTGTCTTAACTGACCTGGAGCAGCTGCCATTTCACTTATCCTAGTACCAGGGATTTGTTTAGCTTGGAGCTAATATATCTATCTCCCCCTACTTTTCCATAGCCATCTGGCCTTGCCCCGTCACAATTCATAGAATCATAGAATCATAGAATATCAGGGTTGGAAGGGACCTCAGGAGGTCATCTAGTCCAACCCCCTGCTCAAAACAGGACCAATCCCCAACCAAATCATCCCAGCCAGGGCTTTCTCAAGCCTGACATTAAAAGCTTCTAAGGAATGAGATTCCACGACCTCCCTAGGTAACGCATTCCAGAGTTTCACCACCCTCCTAGTGAAAAAGATTTTCCTAATATCCAACCTAAACCTCCCCCACTGCAACTTGAGACCATTACTCCTTGTTCTGTCATCTGCTACCACTGAGAACAGTCTAGATCCATCCTCTTTGGAACCCCCTTTCAGGTAGTTGAAAGCAGCTATCAAATCCCCACTCATTCTTCTCTTCCGCAAACTAAACAATCCCAGTTCCCTCAGCCTCTCCTCATAAGTCATGTGTTCCAGTCCCCTAATAATTTTTGTTGCCCTCCGCTGAACACTTTCCAATTTTTCCACACAGTACTCCAGATGAGGCCTCACCAATGTCGAATAGAGGGGAACAATCACGTCTCTCAATCTGCTGGCAATGCCCCTACTTATACAGCCCAAAATGCCATTGGCCTTCTTGGCAACAAGGGCACACTGTTGACTCATATCCAGCTTCTTGTCCACTGTAACCCCTAGGTCCTTTTCTGCAGAACTGCTGCCTAGCCATTCGGTCCCTAGTCTGTAGCGGTGCATGGTATTCTTCCGTCCTAAGTGCAGGACTCTGCCCTTGTCCTTGTTGAACCTCATCAGATTTCTTTTGGCCCAATCTTCTAATTTATCTAGGTCCCTCTGTATCCTATCCCTACCCTCCAACATATCTACCACTCCTCCCAGTTTAGTGTCATATGCAAACTTGCTGAGGGTGCAATCCACACCATCCTCCACAACATTAATGAAGATATTGAACAAAACCGGCCGAACCGACCCTTGGGGCACTCCACTTGATACTGGCTGCCAACTAGACATGGAGCCATTGATCACTAACCGCTGAGCCTGACAATCTAGCCAGCTTTCTATCCACCTTATCGTCCATTCATCCAGCCCATACTTCTTTAACTTGCTGGCAAGAATACTGTGGGAGACAGTGTCAAAAGCTTTGCTAAAGTCAAGGAACAACACGTCCACTGCATTCCCCTTATCCACAGAGCCAGTTATCTTGTCATAGAAGGCAATTAGATTAGTCAGGCATGACTTGCCCTTAGTGAATCCATGCTGACTGTTCCTGATCACTTTCCTCTCATGTAAGTGCTTCAGAATTGATTCCTTGAGGACCTGCTCCATGATTTTTCTAGGGACTGAGGTGAGGCTGACTGGCCTGTAGCTCCCCAGATCCTCCTCCTTCAGTTTTTTAAAGATGGGCACTACATTAGCCTTTTTCCAGTCATCTGGGACCTTCCCCAATCACCATGAGTTTTCAAAGATAACGGCCAATGGCTCTGCAATCACATCCGCCAACTCCTTTAGCACTCTTGGATGCAGTGCATCCGGCCCCATGGACTTGTGCTCATCCAGCTTTTCTAAATAGTCCCGAACCACTTCTTTCTTCACAGAGGGCTGGTCACCTCCTCCCCATGCTGTGCTGCCCAGTGCAGCAGTCTGGGAGCTGACCTTGTTCGTGAAGACAGAGGCAAAAAAAGCATTGAATACATTAGCTTTTTCAACATCCCCTGTCACTAGGTTGCCTCCCTCATTCAGTAAGGGGCCCACACTTTCCTTGACTTTCTTCTTTTTGCTAACATGCCTGAAGAAACCCTTCTTGTTACTCTTAACATCTCTTGCTAGCTGCAACTCCAGGTGTGACTTGGTCTTCCTGATTTCACTCCTGCATGCCCAAGCAATATTTTTATATTCTTCCCTGGTCATTTGTCCAATCTTCCACTTCTTGTAAGCTTCTTTTTTGTGTTTAAGATCAGCAAGGATTTCACTGATAAGCCAAGCTGGTCGCCTGCCATATTTACTATTCTTTCTACACATCGGGATGGTTTGTCCCTGTAACCTCAATAAGGATTCTTTAAAATATAGCCAGCTCTCGTGGATTCTTTTCCCCCTCATGTTATTCTCCCAGGGGATCCTGCCCATCAGTTCCCTGAGGTTGTCAAAGTCTGCTTTTCTGAAGTCTAGGGTCCATATTCTGCTGCTCTCCTTTCTTCCTTGTGTCAGGATCCTGAACTTGACCATCTCATGGTCACTGCCTCCCAGGTTCCCATCCACTTTTGCTTTCCCTACTTATTCTTCCCGGTTTGTGAGCAGCAGGTCAAGAAGAGCTCTGCCCCTAGTTGGTTCCTCCATCACTTGCACCAGGAAATTGTCCCCTACACTTTCCAAAAACTTCCTGGATTGTCCGTGCACCGCTGTATTGCTCTCCCAGCAGATATCAGGGTGATTGAAGTCTCCCATAAGAACCAGGGCCTGCTATCTAGTAACTTTCGTTAGTTGCCGGAAGAAAGCCTTGTCCACCTCATCCCCCTGGTCCGGTGGCCTATAGCAGACTCCCACCACGACATCACCCTGTTGCTCATGCTTCTAAACTTAATCCAGAGACACTCAGGTTTTTCTGCAGTTTAATACCGACCTCTGAGCAGTCATACTGCTCTCTTACATACAATGCAACTCCCCCACCTTTTCTGCCCTGCCTGTCTTTCCTGAACAGTACTCCAGTTCAGTACTCCAGTCATGTGAGTTATCCTATCAAGTCTCTGTTATTCCAATCACATCATAATTCCTTGACTGTGCCAGGACTTCTAGTTCTCCCTGCTTGTTTCCCAGGCTTCTTGCATTTGTGTACAGGCACTTGAGATAACTTGCTGTTTGTCCTGCTTTCTTAGTATGAGGCAGAAGCCCTCCCCTTTCACGTTCTCCTGCTCTTGCTTCCTCCCGGTATCCCACGTCCCCACTTACCTCAGGGCTTTGGTCTCCTTCCCCCGGTGAACCTAGTTTAAAGCCCTCCTCACTAGGTCAGCCAGCCTGCTTGCAGAGATGCTCTTTCCTCTCTTTCTTAGGTGGAGCCTGTCTCTGCCTAGCACTCCTCCTTCTTGGAACACCATCCCATGGTCAAAGAATCCAAAGCCTTCTCTTCGACACCACCTGTGTAGCCATTCGTTGACTTCCACGATTCGACGGTCTCTACCCAGGCCTTTTCCTTCTACGGGGAGGATGGACAAAAACACCACTTGCGCCTCAAACTCCTTTATCCTTCTTCCCAGAGCCACGTAGTCCTCAGTGATCAGCTCAAGATCATTCTTGGCAGTATCATTGGTGCCCACGTGGAGAAGCAGGAAGGGGTAGCGACCCGAGCGCTTGATGAGTGTCGGCAGACTCTCCATCACATCGTGAATCCTAGCTCCTGGCAAGCGGCAGACTTCTCGGTTTTCCCAGTCAGGGCGGCAGATAGATGACTCAGTCCCCCTGAGGAGAGAGTCCCTGATCACCACCACCCACCTCCTCCTCTTGGGAGCGGTGGTCGTGGAACCCCCATCCCTAGGACAGTGCATCTCATGCCTTCCAATCGGCGGAGTCTGCTTCTGTTCCCTTCCCTCAGATGTATCATCTAGTCCACTCTCTGCATTAATACCTGTGGAGAGAACATGAAAACGGTTGCTTACCTGTATCTGCGCTGCTGGTACATGGATGCTCCCCTTTCTTCTTCTGGAGGTCACATGCTGTCAATTTTCTTCACCGTCCTCCTGTCCCCGCTGCACAGCCTGCTCTGAATCTTCAGAACATTGTGCCCGTAGAAGCGTATCCTGACATCTGTCCAGGAAATCTTCAGTTTCTCTTATGCAACGCAGGGTCGATACTTGTTTTTCCAGACCTTGAACCTTCTCTTCCAATATGGAGAACAGCTTGCACTTTGTACAGACAAAGTCACTTCTGTCCTGTGGGAGAAAGACAAACAATATTGTGATTTTATAACATTTTAAAATAGTTTTCAATGTGATTTTATATGAATAAAGGTGATTTTCATGTCATCTCTCTCTCTCTTCACATACACACACACACACCCCTGTCAGAAATTACAGCTGCTTGTCCTGCGTTAAATATCTTGTTGGGTTGCTATTAGCTGCTGTTAGCCTTTATTATTGCATTACCAAGCTTGTTTGGCATTTCTCAAGCTGTCCTTAGCATTTCTCTCAAAATAAGTATTTGTATGTTGCCTAAGAAGTTGAAGTCAACGATTAATAATTACTCATTTCTATAATAGCTTCATTAATTATTATTTTTCAAAGATCTAAGTAGGTGCTAAGCACGTAGGCCAACATTTTCAGAAGTTACCACTGATTTTGTGGCTGGCCAACTTGAGACAGCTGGATATGAAAACAACAAAAATCAAAGCACAGTAATGATACTCCTTTAGCAATTTTTTTTCTGGTTAATTACTGAAACCAATACTTACCTGCTTTTGCACAACAGTATAATTGGTTGATTTATGCAATCATAATAAACAGGTAATTCCAAATCAAACAAAATTCTCAACCTGACCCAGTTTGAGGGTACAGTTAGGGTCCAGAAATGCATTGAAGTAATGGGATTTAAGCACCTGTTTTGCTGAATTGGGGCCTTAATCTGAATGATTCCTGAGTGCAAAATATTTCCAAGGAAAATAATACTCTGCTTCCCTCAGTTCCCTTCAAAATGCAGGGCCAGATCCTAGTCACTTCTGGACTTCACTCTTGAATAAAGCTTTGTAATATGAAGAAAGGAAAGAAAATAGCAGCTACACTGATCCTAGAAAAACACATTTAACAAAAGTGGGAATTTTGCTGCTTTTAATAGACAGAATTTGTGTTTTACTGTCTGATTCTACTCTTTTCTCAGATCTATCCAATACAAAAGCAGCCTAATTTGGCAGAAAAATTTTAAAAATAGTATTTGTGAGACAGTATGGATTTCTGACAAAAAACACTACTTTGTGCTAGCTCATTGTTCACTGTATGGCTTTTCCAATATAAATCTGATCACTATGTTGCTGAATCTATAGAAGGAAACGGAAGATAAAAAATTGTTATCACTAGGTGCATAGAACTCCTTGGCTGTTTAAGCTATAGAATATTAACTTTTATGTACATGTGAAAGAGGAGTTTTTAGTAGTTTTAGAAGGATAGGGGAAGTGAAATGAAGAACAGGTCATTACTGTAGACAGGAAGCAATAAAAAGGCAAGTACATGGCTTTGTTATGTCTTCTTTCTTTAGATGGTTGTAGTTTTATTTTTGTTATTTCTACAAACATATTTTTGAACAAACAAAATATAAAAAAATCTAATAATGTCCATCTCTTCTCCAATGAGGAAGGGTAAACAGGGTGGGAATCTATCAGCCTGGATAAAATTCTCAGACTTTCCAATCTCTCATTGGAGACAGCTATCATAGAAACGGAACGTCCACTAGAAGACTTTTTTTTTTTTTTAAAAAAAAAGCTCTCCCTCTTACTTTTCAACAGGAAAAGTATTACTTTTTTAAAAATCAATTTAAGTTAGGAGGAGAATGTTTTTAGCATTTTTTAAGTATGGGACACATGGATTAGAAGTGATGAGCCCTTAGATTTTATAAGCATTTTCAAGCCTCTCATGACTTTTCGGTCACCATTCTCTCTGGAATGAAACTCCTCAAAATCACACCTACTCAGAAACACCGCTGATCACTTCAGAGCATCAGCAACTCTCAACATAGCCAGCTGGGCTCCACTTTCATGTACTCCTGGAGAGATCCTAAGTTTAAAACAGGGACCGGCAACCTTTGGCACACGGCCCGCCAGGGTAAGCCCCCGGTGGGCCGGGCAGGTTTGTTTACCGGCTGGTGTCTGCAGGTTTGGCTGATCATGGCTCCCACTGGTCGCGGTTCGCCGTTCCAGGCCAATGGGGTCTGTGGGAAGCAGTGGCCAGCACATCCCTTCGCCCATGCCATTCCCGCAGCCCCCATTGTCCTGGAATGGCGAAACGCGGCCAGGGGGAGCCATGGTTGGCCAAACCTGTGGACGCGGCAGGTAAACAAACCAGCCCAGCCCGCCAGGGGGCTTACACTGGCGGGCCGTGTGCCAAAGGTTGCCGATCACTAGTTTAAAAATTCAGAGTACTTGCAGAGCTCCTAAACTCCATAGTCTTTCCTTGACTTCTGCAGCTGTCCTAGTGCCCCTGTTTACTTCCCTACAGGCTTCTTGATCCACAAAATCTTTAGTGGAGTCCCCATCAGGTCCATAGTTCCTGCTGACCTACTAAGATTCTGCTGAAAACCTGTGGACTTCAGTAGGTCCACAGGGAAGCCAAGGTGGGAGGGAGGAAGAACAGGAATTAAGCCGTGGCACTTGTGGGCAGGCATTCTCATATATTGTATGAAATCCTATAGCTTGTGTTATGCAGGAGGTCAGACTAGATGATCATGGTCTCTTCTGGTCTTGGAATCTATGAATCTATAATATCCATAGAATAAAAGCCTACATTTATGCTCAACTTAGGTTACTCTAATCAAATTAAAACATATAAATAATGCCTTACAATCTGAGAAATATAAAGTTAAGGAATTCTCAAAAAATGTCCTTTCTATGTCCAGAAATATTTCAATCTTTTTCAGCAATTCTATCTTTCATTTTTGTATCGGTACACTTCCTTTAATGATACTAACTACTGAATTACAATATATTTCCAACAATAAGTCAGAATTATGTATAATCAAGATAGTAATATTTCTATTATTTTGATAATTGGTAAGATTTACATTTCCACAGTGTATCCCCCACACAGAATAATATAAAAATGAGTGTATGTATATATATTAGGGCTGTCAATTAATTGCAGTTAACTCACACGATTAACTCAAAAAAATTAATTGTGATTAATTGCACTGTTAAACAATAGAATACCAATTGACATTTATTCAATATTTTTGGATGTTTTCTACATTTTCAAATGTATTGATTTCAATTACAACATAGAATACAAAGTGTACAGTGCTCATTTTATATTTTAGTACAAATATTTTCACTGTAAAAATGGTAAAAGAAATAGTATTTTTCAATTCAACTCATCCAAGTACTGTAGTGCAATCTCTTTATCAGGAAAGTTGAACTTACAAATGTAGAATTATGTACAAAAAAATAACTGCATTCAAAAGTAATACAATGTAAAACTTTCGAGCCTACAAGTCCACTCAGTCCTACTTCAGCCAATCGCTCAGACAAACAAGTTTGGTTAAAATTTGCAGGGGATAATACTGCCCGCTTCTTGTTTACAATGTCACCTGAAAGTGAGAACAGGCATTCGCATGGCACTTTTGTAGCTGGCATTGCAAGGTATTTACATGTCAGATATGCTAAACATTCGTATGCCTAACCATTCCAGAGGAGATGCTTCCCTGCTGACGATGCTTGTTAAAAAAAATAATGCGTTAATTATATTTGTGACTGAACTGCTTGCGGGATAATTGTATGTCTCCTGTTCTGTTTTACCTGCATTCTGCCATATATTTCATGTCATAGCAGTCTTGGAGAATGACACAGCCAGCACATGTTCGTTTTAAGAACACTTTCACTGCAGATTTGACAAAACGCAAAGAATGTACCGATGTGAGATTTCTAAAAATAACTACAGCATTCGACCCAAGGTTTAAGAATCTGAAGTGCCATCCAAAATCTGAGATGGACGAGGTGTGGAGCATGCTTTCAGAAGATTTAAAAGAGCAACACTCAGATGTGGAAACTACAGAACCCGAACCACCAAAAAAGAAAATCAACCTTCTGCTGGTGGCATCTGACTCAGATGATAAAAATGAACATGCATCAGTTTGCACTGCTTTGGATCGTTATCGAGCAGAACCCGTCATCAGCATGGATGTGTCCTCTGGAATGGTGGTTGAAACATGAAGGGACATATGAATCTTTAGCGCATCTGGCACGTAAATATCTTGTGGCACCGGCTACAACAGTCCCATGTGAACATCTGTTCTCGCTTTCAGGTGACATTGTAAACAAGAAGCGGGGAGCATTATCTCCTGCAAATTGTAACCAAACTTGTTTGTCTGAGCGATTGGACTTGCAGGCTCTAAAAGTTTACATTGTTTTATTTTTGAATGCAGTTTTTTTGTATATAATTCTACATTTGTAAGTTCTACTTTCATGATAAAGAGATTGCACTATAGTACTTGTATTAGGTGAATTGAAAAATGCTATTTCTTTTGGTTTTTTACAGTGCAAATAATTGTAATAAAAATAAATATAAAATGAGCAGTGTACACTTTAAAAAAAGAAAAGGAGTATTTGTGGCACCTTAGAGACTAACAAATTTATTTGAGCATAAGCTTTCGTGAGCTACACCTCACTTCATCGGCTGCATACAGTGGAAAATACAGTGGGGAGATTTTATATACACAGAGAACATGAAACAATGGGTGTTACCATACACACTGTAATGAGAGTGATCAGGTAAGGTTAGCGATTACCAGCAGGAGAGAAAAAAAACCTTTTGTAGTGATAATCAAGGTGGACCATTTCCAGCAGTGGACAAGAACGTGTGATGAACAGTGGGGAATGGGGGGGAATAAACATGGGGAAATAGTTTTACTTTGTGTAATGACCCATCCACTCCCAGTCTTTATTCAAGCCTAATTTAATGGTGTCCAGTTTGCAAATTAATTCCAATTCAGCAATCTCTCATTGGAGTCTGTTTTTGAAGCTTTTTTGTTGAGAATTGCGACTTTTAAGTCTGCAATTGAGTGACCAGAAAGATTGAAGTGTTCTCCCACTGGTTTTTGAATGTTATAATTCTTGATGTCTGATTTGTGTCCATTTATTCTTTTACGTAGAGACTGTCCGGTTTGGCCAATGTACATGGCAGAGGGGCATTGCTGGCACATGATGGCATATATCATATTGGTAGATGTGCAGGTGAACGAGCCTCTAATAGTGTGGCTGATGTGATTAGGCCCTATGATGGTGTCCCCTGAATAGATATGGGGACACAGTTGGCAACGGGCTTTATTGCAAGGATAGGTTCCTGGGTTAGTGTTTTTGTTGTGTGGTGTGTGGTTGCTGGTGAGTATTTGCTTCCGGTTGGGGGGCTGTCTGTAAGCAAGGACTGGCCTGTCTCTGAAGATCTGTGAGAGTGATGGGACGTCCTTCACTTTGTATTCTGTGTTGTAATTGAAATAATATATTTAAAAATGTAGAAAACATCCAAAAATATTCAAATAAATGGTATTCTATTATTAACAGTGTGATTAATCGCACGATTAATCGTGATTAATTTTTTTAATTGTGCGATTAATTATGATTATTTTTTTAATAACTTGACAGCCCTAATATATATATATATATGTGTGTGTGTGTATTTTGGTTTAATTATGGTACTTACATTTCTCCAAAAACTTTAGGAAGTTGTGAAGTACTGCATTTACTCTGTCCTTTGTTGCACTGTTTTCTTAGTGTAGAGTCAGAGTTAGGGTTATAGGCTCAAATCCACAAAGGTATGTCAGGATTTAATGGAAATTAGGAGCCATAGATACTATGGATGTATGATGATATTCCAGTAATGAGCACATGAGGAGTAACAATGTAACCCACGGTCAAGTCCGAAAGTGTGTTAGATTCCTTGCAAAAGGGGGACAAAAACAAAGGAGACCCTCTTCAGCAAAAACATTTATTTTGCAACAGGTATTATAAACTTTCTGGAACTTGTTTCTTTTTGGAAGTCATATAACCCAAACACCCAAAATCCACAATTATCCAAGAATGATAATCTGTTTTCATTGTATTAAGTTATTATGATTATTTGTATTTTCCTAGTGCCTAGGAGCCCTTGTCACTGGACCATTCTCTTCACTGTCGAGTTGAAGATCTTTAATGCATAATGTAGTGCTAAATAAAATAGCTCTACAGGCAAAAATAAAGGGAAATATGCCATAAATAGAGAATCAGACAGACACACAAATTAAAAACAGCACTTCTACCAAGAATTATCTGTTTATTGTTTTAAATATTTTAGGCTTCATGGCTGGACATGCACCCCTTCCCCTCTTTGCTCCTGTACTTTCCCCCAGCAATGACACTGCTGCAGCTTTCAACAGCCAGTCACCACAATTATGAAGCTTGCAGTTTTCACTTTTTATTAAATCAAAAAGGGAAGCCAGAAGCATTAAATAGCCAAAGATTTGATTGTCCAACTAAAAAAAACCTGACCAAGCATGTTAATATCTGTAGAGCTAGTCTTGTTTCTCAGAGAATGAGGCTGGAACTATGTAAGTGACCCCGAGTTAGCTAGCACCACAAGTTAACTTTACTCCTACTGGAGACAGCAATTAAATATAATTAATGATGATGAAATTGTACGTTATCATTAGTCACAGGGGCTCATGGGCCTGATGCTATTCTTGTTGAATAGGAAAACTTCCATTTGGCTTCAGTCATGTGGGATTGGGCTCTATGTGATCCTTTTCTTTGGTTTTGGTCCATGTGTGTTTGCACCAAGGCAGATTCAAGCATACACGGCCTGGATGTTGGTAAGTGTGATATTCTGATAGCAAATGGAGCATTGCATTGGCCTCCCTTCTTCTTGCCTCCTCAGCAAATCAAGGTAATTGTAAATGTGTCTAAATAGCCTGTCGGAGTTGGAAACTTTTGTTATAAACTAATGAAATTCTATCAGCTGGCAATGACAGACCCAGCATTTCTGTGACACCATTTAAGCCTGTGGTCACACCTTTGGGCCAAATGAACCCCCAAAATCAAAGCAACGTATAGGCAAAACTTCTGAGTTTTACTTTTGATGTGAACTCATCTGTCAAGTAGGTTTACTCAGAACTGGCTGAGATTTACGAACAGTAATAAAACTTGAAACTCAGCACAGGATTGATCTGCAGGTCTGCCATGAAATCTGAAACTGGGTATGTTTCCTGTGGTTTGGGGTTCCATTGCACAACTGCATGTGAAGCCCCATACCCAGCTAGATTGCACAAATGCTCCCTGAGCCACTCATGAATCACACAGAGAAAGCAAATCACCAGCAAATCTCCCAAGCCCTGAGCCTTGCACACCTGGAATATACCATCTTGCCCTGCTCAGAAACCCGACCAGTATAAATTTATTACCCCATCCAACCCTCCCTCAATGTGGCAAGGAGGCACACTAGCCTTTGTAAAAAAAAAAAACAAAAAAAAACTTAGCTGAGATTTCCCTAGCACTTCAAGCAAAACACACGGTTTTAGGTAAAATATAAAACTGATTTATTAACTACAGAAAGATAGATTTTAAGTGATTTTAAGTGGTAGGCACAAAAGGTTAGAGTTACCAAAGAAAATAAAAGGTAAGTGCACAGTCTAAAACTTAAACCTTATTACACTAGGCAGTATTTAGATCAAGCAGTTTTTCTCACCCCACTGGATGTTGCAGGTAGGTTATAGTTCTTCATACACAGGCTTCCCCTTTTAGCTTGGGACCAGTCTCCTCAGTTTGTCTTTGTCTTCCCAGCATTCTTGCTGCTTCCAGCATAGGTATGGGGGCCGGGGAGGGGGGGCAAAGAAAGGCCAAAGCATGATGCCATTGTCCCCTATTTTATATCCTCAGTCCATGTGCCTGGAAAACACTAGCCCAGACATGTCCTGGTGGGCTTTGCTGAGTCACAGGGTTGAGCAATCCTCCATTGTGTGATGCTTGGGCAGCCCTATTACAGTATTTTAAAGCCCTTGTTTACAACTCCCCTGCTGATTAGTGGTCACTTAACATCCTCCTGGGAGTGGATCACCACCTAGCAGTAGAGACTCTCAAACTTACAACATATATTAGTAACAACCATACAGCAAAATCTCATAACTTCATACACACTAACGATATACATATTTGGACAGAACAATGGGTGTCAGCAGATCATGACCTTCCATATATCTTAAATGGCATGCTTTGTATGAAATATATCATAATTATATTACAGGGGTGAATATGGGGGTTCCAAAGTGCTGCTACGAGGTACAGAGTGATACACAGGTAAGTTTGCTCAGAACTGGCTGAGGTTTACAAACAGTAATTAAACTTAAAACTCAGCATAGGATTGATCTGCAGCTCTGCCATAAAATCTGAAACCAGGTGCGTTTCCTGTGGTTTGGGGTTCAAGTTCCCCTCATTTACATCACACTCCCTCTTGAAATGTCAAACATTCATATACTTCATCACAAACTGCAAGCACCTCCATTGTACAGCTTTCTACACATACCACCTTTTATTCATCTGAATAGGGTGACCAGATGTCCTGTTTTTGAAGGGACAGTCCCGTATTTAAGCTCTCCAGCAGGTGTCCTGACTTTTTCTTAAAACGGGCCAAATATCCCTATTTTCTGTCTCCCCACCGCCCCATCAGTACTGGTGGGTACTGCTGCTGGCTGGATCCCTGCTTGCCAGCTGCCATTCCAGCAGCAGTGAGTGGGGGTGTCCAGTAGCTGACGATGGGGGTGGGTGTGCAAGGCTGGTGGTGGGGCGAAAATGCCGCGCACATGGCCAGCTACTCCTCTTGCTGGTCTGTCAGCTCAGCCCCCACTGCATGCCAGCTCTCGGCCATCAGGGCCCTTCCCCCCATCCCATTTCCGGATGGCACTGGCTGTGAGCTTTGGTGACTGGTGAGTGTGGGCAGGCGCCAGTCAGCAGCCAGTTACATTTCACCTCTGCTACCCACTCATCAGCCCTTTATGTGTTCTGCCTCTCACTATCCTCTCCCTGCTTTGCTCCTCTGCCCTCCAACCCTGCTGCTCCTACAGATCCCCCCCCAGCAGGGCATGCCCTGCTCCCAGCACTGTGCAGAGAACCAGCCTCTGGTTGGAGCGCTCAGCTCACCAACAGCCTGGCCGGCAGGCTCCTTCCTTCCCCCACTGCCTCTGGCTGGGCAGGTACCCCGGGAAAGCCCAAGACCCTGTGGCCTGGGGCGCTGGTCAGGAGGAGCCGAGTCCTACACGTGCCAAACCCCTGCACAGCGCTGGCGTGGGGCAGCCTCTCTGCCCCTCAGCTAAGTTCTGGAGTGGCGGCATGGTGGGGGAGGGGTGGCGTGGTGGGGAGAGGAGAAGCTGAGCCACGTCTCTGGCCAGGTTCCCTGAAGCCCCTGCAGTCAAGTTCCCTGGGCCCTAGTGCACACCACATCCATAGGGCTTCACCCCTTCCTGCCTGCGCTGTAGTTGGGGGACAGGAGGCGGCTGGGTTATGTCAGTGGTCAGCAGCAGCCTGGAGGTGTTAGCTGCCTTTCAACATGTGTGGGCAGGAAGGGACAAGCTGCTTCCAGCCACAGGAGATGGGGGGGGGGAGGGAGAAGTGGGGGAAGAGATGAGCTCTGCAAAGACACGGGCCAGGTCCTCCCTTCCCCCCTCCTCCCCGTGTGAAACCGAAAGCCTTAAAGATAAGAAGGTAAATAAAAAGAATCCAACTACGCAGTATTTATTTTTAACAGGGGCTCAGCCAACTTGATGTTAATTTGAACGTTTGCACTGCATAGTTCTGATTGATTGCTGTTGAACTTGCATGAATACAAGTAATTTTACCAGGTGTCTCATATTTAATATAGGGAAATATGGTCATCCTACATCAGAAGAGCTGCGGTTCCTGTTCTGGTGAGCGTGGTCTACTCAATCACTAAACTGGTGGCAAAGCTGTACTTACTTTCCTTATTGGAGCTACCTTTCTGACATTTCACTCTTGGGGCCAGAACCAGACTTCAATGAAAGTTTGAGGTGCACAAGGAATACAAAATCAAACCATTCTTGAGGACAACCGTCCTCTTTTTTCCCAGTGTGGCCTCAACTCTTCCTGTCCACTTATAGAGATCAGAGGTGTCATTTATTTGGAGGAAGAAGTATTCAAACATAAGTGGCCATGCTCCAGCAACCGGGAGAGAAACAGCTGCTTTCAAATCCAAATAGATGCCATGGCAGCTAGCACTAGAAAAGCATCTCGGATTGCCAATTTTGGTTGGCTATATTCCTGGAGGTTTCATCACATGACATAATCTTTAATTAAAGATTAATCTTTAATTCCTGGACCCTTCAGGACAATCCTGGAGAGCTGGGACCCCTACAAGTGTCCGGGACAGCTTGTTATTTATGTATTTAAATAAATTAAAGCAGGAGGGAGCCATATATTAAAGAGAGAGCCTGTTTGTGACTCACATAGTGCAGAAATTGTTTGAAGAGCCACCTTCACGTTGAGGACTAGTTTAAAACAAAAGATGGCTGCACTCTTTTTTTAAAAGTGGCCCTCACTTTAAGGGTCTCATTTCTCTTCCTGTTTTCAAGTACAAGGCCCACACAATTAGACTGTCCTATCACAGGGCGACGGGGACGCCACTGCTGCTCTTTCTCTTTTGAAGACCCAGTGCCCTAAAAGACCGAGGGAAGGGGAGCATCTATGTCTCCTCCTCAAGGATCTGTAGCAAGTCAAAGGAATAGAGGAAAGAACCTCCTCCTCCCAGGAGAAGGGACAGACCACTCTGTGGGGAAGGCTGGTAGGTAGGGACATCTGCAGTCATATAGTTGGCCTATGTTTCTTATTACGGTTTCCCTGATCTACCTCCGCATACCCCTGTTCTTTCCACCAACTTGTTGCATCTTCTCT